ATGGGCCCCCAGAGGAACCTTGAGGCTGTGGATGCCACATCATCATTGACCTGGGTAGAGGGAGCTAAGTCATGAGGCCCAGGACCAGCTGACATGGGGGCAGCCTTCTCATCACAGGGGAGGCGGGGTGGGAGAGGTGCAGGCCGAGGACTGACCCGTGGGCTCGGGCACACTGCCATGGCTGCCTTCTGGTCAAGCACCAAGCAGCAGTGAGGTGGACGGGGGCCACGGAGATGGGGACAGGCGTGGGACACCCTGGTGTGAGCGAACAGACCTTCTCCCCAAGGCTGCCCGACCCCCTGAGGGATGGACTCACTGGTGAATACCAAGGTTTTTCATGGTGATGAGAGAAGCTGCGACATTTAACATAAGGGACTGACGAGACCACCCAGGAAAAGTCATTTCCCGGCAGAGGGATGATGCAGCCGGCTGGCATTTCTGGTCCACGCAGGAAGGTAATTCCCCGTGCAGGAGTCAGCTGGCTGGTGCTGAGGCTCAGAGCCCACATGGGGGCTTTATGAGCACATGACAAGCTTGTCCCCTGCTCGGTGTGGATTCAACCAGGCAGCCGGGGGTGACCTTCAGAGCGGCCTGCCCTGCCCTCTACACACACAGGCAGAGCCTAGGTCCACAGCCATGCTTGCCAGGTGACACCTGGGGCCTCTACTTCTCCTGGCTAAAGCCCCTGTCTTTCCCATTCCTGACCAGGGGTATCTATTCCTCTCAGCAGTGCCCCCTCCTGGCACCCAGGACCTGGGACTCCCTCCTGCTGGCCCCTGCTCCCAGCCCCCACCCCTCGGCCTCCAACAGGCTGTCTGTGGGGCCTGCTCCGCAGGAATGGACTCGGCTCACGGAGACTGGTGGCTGGACCTGGAGGTTTGTATTTTTCCGATGCCTCCTCAATTGACCTTTAATTACACTGTTTGCCCAGCTCCCCAAACCATTAACTTCCACCTCACAGCAACCGCACGTCAATTAATGGAGGGCCTGCTCCAAGCTTGAGCTCCTGAACACAATTAAGCGTGACAGTCCACAAATAAGAAAGAACCGGAGAATTAATTAAGGTCTAAACAAATTAATTACCAGTCCCCAATCGATTCTGATGCCAGCACACACCGTCTTTCCTAACATGTCCGTGTATAAATAGAAACTGAGATTTCCCACATGATTGCTGTTCTAGACCAGGGCACAGCCAGGCTCTGAAACCACCGCAAGAGAGGCTGCAGTGGGTGTCCTTGCGGCTCCCCACATCCTCCAAACACACACGCACACGCGCACGCACACACATACACACATGCACACGCACACATACACACATACACATACACACATGCACACAACCCCGGCTGGAAAAACAGGGGTGAACCTGGAGGTGCTCCTGGTGGGACACCGAGTCCGCGGCCTCGGGACCACACCCCTCAGTTTCTCGGCCACAGGAGTGAAGGGTTATGCAAGCAGGCATGGGGTAGCCCTGGGCTTCACCTGCAAGGCCTGGCTTTTGGCCAGGTCAGGATAACTTTCAGTGCATCTGTTTGTTTGTTCTTCTGTAAGATGGAATGGCTCCCTCGACCTTAGGGGAAAACGAGGAGAGCTATAGAGCCCTGGGAATACTGGGCTCTGCAACACAGGGGAGGCCAGCAGTGACTGTCCCAGCAGTCCCAACAGGAAGGGGCTGAACAGGGCCTGGTCCGAGGCCAGAGAGGAGTGGGGGTGGCAGGATCAGGCCGGAGAGGCAGGTGTCCTGTGCCAGGATTCTCAGTGCAGAGAGGTGCCCTCCCACCTCTCAGACCTCAGGCTGGAGCAGGAGCTCGGGGAGGGGCTGGACAGAGCAGTAGGAAGAAGCTGCTGACTCCCAGGAGCCTCCTGGTTTCCCAGGGCCTGAGTTTCCAGCCTGCCCAGGAGGGACAGAGTGGGGATGCAGCCTCTGAGCACAGAGCGCCCGAGCCCTTCAGGACCCTCCCTCACCCTGAAGGCCCCTCCTTTGTTCTATCCTCCTACACACACCCCAACAACCAGAGCTCAACCCGATCGCTTCCCATGTGCACTCACAGCTCGGTGAGTCCTGTCTCCCCAAGGGGCCAGGGCTCCGAAGAGGCACAGAACCCTCTCCAAGGTGGAACAAGTCCTGAGCTAGCTTCTTGGTGGTCTTAACAGCGGCCCGGCCAGTCTGGCCCAGCCTGCTGTGGAAAGCAGGGGCGAATACCTGGTGGGACCAGCATGCAGTGGGGCTTAGAGATGCTCTGTCCTGGCCAGAGGCTCCTGGGGATAAGGAGCAGGGAGGCCAAGTGCACGGACTGGATGGTGGCCTGAGAGGACCAAGGGACCTTTGAGCCCCTGAGAGTGAGAGGCATGTTTATCTGTACCCACCGTGTCAGCAGCGACCAGGGGCATCAGCAAGTGCCCATGTCAGATGGGTCTGGGATGGACACTGGGGGGCAGAGAGATGGAAGCTTGAATGTGGGGTAGGAGAGACCGGGCGGGGGTGGAAGGCAGGCAGGCACACAGCAGGGCTTGGGCAGCAGGCCGGAGGAAGCAGCCGGAAGGGGCCTGTTTCTCAGGATCCCGGCAAGCTAGGACTCTCAGGGCTGCAGACCACACTGAGTGCAACCAGTGCAACTGGCCAGGGGTACACAGGAGCGCGAGACCCCCAATGTGGCTGGACTTGTGCGAGGGGGCTGCAGGCTCCTCCCCGACAAGAAGGCAGGCGAGGAATCAGGCTGGAGCCCAAAGAGAGAAGGGCCAGAAAGTCTCAGGTGGGATGAAAATAGGGTCAAACCCGAAAGCAGGGGCCCTCCTCCTGCAGGAACCTCACAGAGGTGAAGACCATCCCAAGGTCACACAGCAAGACAGCCAGTAAAACAGGGCTGGAGCGGGCCCTGGTAAAGTCCTTGCCTCAGGCTTGGCTCAAGGACAGATTACATCTCAGCTGAGTCCCAGATCCAGTCCAGTGCGGCTGAGAGCCGCCCCCTCTCAGGCTGCACCTGACCCTCCCGCCCAGGATGGCAAGGACCGCAAGAAATGCAGCGGTGTTCACTCAATTAGGCCCCTTAACAAAGTCAGATCTAAAGAGTTTTCCATTAATGGCCCACACCAGAAATAACTGAGAGTTCATTAAAAGTGTGGAGTTGCTATAACAATTATCTGGGTTGGCTGAGGCTCATGGAGCAGGTTGGTCCTGGGAGTTCATTAGCCCTTGGGCCATGGAGGAGGTGGGGCTGCCGAGGAATGATTTCCCAGGAGCTTTTTAGGTGTTCAAAGCACTTTCCTATGAATGGAATCTGGCCCGTGGTCTCCTCTGATCCTCCCACAGCTCTGGGCTCCAGGAAGGTAGTACTGGTGCCGGGGAAGCTGAGCCCTGCAGGGGAAGAGCAGGGTATGACGCCCAGCTCTTCAGACTGAGCCTTGGCACCAAGGAGGTCACGGGACCCCACACCCTTCCTAGGACGGCCCCCTTCTTTGTCCTCTGGCCTCAGATGGGGAACTCAGTGTCATGGTTCAAGCACTGGCTGATGCTCCTCTTTTGAGTATAATAATCACGGACGGCCCCAGGTTTCTTTCTATGTTGTTTATTTCTTTTTCACTTTTAAAAACTTTGCACCGTGGTACCCTCTTCCCAAACAAGTTGTGGGCTTCTTAAGAGCCAGGCTGGGCTTTGAGGGATCCCCAGGTCCAGGCCTGGGGCACCTGTTGTGAGCTCAGAGACTCCAAGACCACCAAGGTCTTGGCTGAAGGCAGGCGAGATCCCCTCCACACACTCGTGCACCTACAATTACCTGAATGGGCATGGGGCTGCGAAACCTAAAGGGCCCATGATGCCCAGGGGCTTGGGACACCAGACTGGTGGGAGCTTTGAACCTTCTGTTGCGTCAGGAACCCCTGGGACAGTCTGGTGAGGTCTATGCTCCTCTCTCCAGATAATGTCTCTAGTTTTTTAAATTAATTTTATTTTTGTTAATCCTCATCTGAGCATCTTTTTTGCATTGAATTTTAGAGAGAGTGGAAGGGAAGGAAGGAGAGAGAGACAGAGAGAAACATCGATGTGGGAGAGACACATCAATTGGTTGCTCCCAAACGCACTCTGACCGGGACCGGGGATCAAACTTGAAACCCAGGTACGTGCCCTTGACTGGAATCGCACCCATGACTCTTTGGTGTGCAGGCCGATGCTCTATCCACTGATCCACACTGGCCAGGGCCAAATAATGTCTCTAAATGCATAAAGCAAAATATATAGGATTACAAAGGAAATATATGGAACTAGTTATTAAAATATTTTTATAATTGTAATATAGTAATAGATTTGTTTCTTCAATATTCTTATTGATTTTTAGAGAGAGAGGAAGGAAGGGAAGGGGAGAGAGAGAGGGTTCAAACCAACAACCTGGGTATGTGCCCTGGCCAGGAATGCAACCGGCGACCTTTCGGTGCCTGGGATGATGCTCAACAACTGGCCAGGGTGATTTAGTGTGAATTTGGAGCAATACCCTAAGATCTCTGTAACAACTATAATGGGACAAGAAAATATCTATGATTTCTATTGGTGACAGTCACTGTGGTTTGCTGCCTACATTCATAATGGAAGGAAATATTGAATTTCAGTTAGAGGTTCATATAAATTCTTCCTCAACCAAGTTCACGAGATCCACTGCATTCTATCTATTGACCTTCGGGAGTCTGGGGTTTCAGGTTAAGAATCCCTGTATAGAATTTGGGACACAGAGCTAGTCAGTGGGCCTCTGTCATCTTTTTCTCTATCTACACATTTTGTTCTAGGTGTCCCTGCCAAGAAACAGCCCCCCTCCATGTCAGGAGAGTGTAGAGGAGCTGTCCAGCTCCCCCAAGAGCCCCAAAGACCACACACCCACACACACACCCACACACACACACACAAACGAACGTACACATATGTGCACACACCCATGCACACACACACACGCACATGTGCACACACATGCACACGTGCGCACACATGCACATGCTCAGCACTATGCAGGTCTTACCTACGGCAGGGAAGGGCACAAATCTCTGGACGAGAAGCCGGGTGGCCGGGGTGAACTTGTTGGCTTTCTGAACCAGGACATTAAGGCCCACCTTGGAGAGAGAAAATAGAGACAGTGCATGGTGCTACAGCCGCCTGTGGGAGGACGGGGCGGGCTAGGGGAAGAGCAGTCGTACCCCTGCGGTCGTACCCCAGACCCTAGGCTGCAGAGCTCCAGTGTGGCTGTTTGGAGCACCACCGCCCGGTCATCCCGGTTAACCAGCTCAGAAGAGAGGGAGAGAGGTCAAGTATCAGCTATGCACGCAAACACACACGGCCTCTGGGGGGGAAGTGATGGCGGGGCGGTTCCGGTTGCACATAAATGTAGTGTAGGGCCCCCTCATTCCCAGCCTCCAGGCACCGCCTCTCTGAGGCTCCCCTCTGAGCCCAGCAGGGCCTGGCCAGACTACCAGGTCTCAGGACAGTGAGATCCATGCACCTGCCTAAGTGGAGCAGCCCAGAGCAGGGCGGGGCGAGGAGGGGTGCGGACATCCGGGCTCAGCTTGTCTTCACTCAGACCCCAGCTCCCCTCACCCGGCCCTGGACACCAGAGTCCCCTCGCCTTTGCCCTGGGCTCTCCTCGCTCCATCCCCGTGCTGTCCTCTGCCTTTATCGAACACAGGCCCAATCACTTCCACCGCCAGCAGCTCCTCCTCCTGCTCCGTGAGAGAAGATACAATCTCCTGCGAGCCGGGCCTCCCTGACCTCGACTCCGCACTCCCCTGGCAACCCTTGTCCTCCCTCTATGAGTCCAGTTTACTGCTCATCAGATGCCACACAGGCTTCCGCCCTGGGCCTTTGCACATGCTGGTCCCGATGCTGGGACGCTTGCTTCCTTCCTCCGCTCAGTCCACACCTGGTCTTTGAAGGCCCACCTCTGAGCTCCACCTCCAGGGTCACTACAGAGGGAGTCATTTAACCTTTAGTCAGGACGTCTTTTAACCTCTGCCTCAGTTTCCTTATCTGTAAAAGGGACAGCATCTAGGGCGTCCCAGGGCTGTTACAAGAATGTATGTAAGTGTTTAGCATAAGAAGTTTCAATAAGTTAAGCTATTCAAGGATGATGTCGCCTCTCCCTGGCAGAAAGTCCCTGCCCTGCACACCGAGAGTCTCCTGCCCAGCACTCAGAACACCACGGGTGTGACATCCTGCCTGAATGAGAGGGAGGGAGGCCGTGTCTTTTTCTTCTTTGTATGCCCAGCACTGAGGGCAGTGGGTGGCATGTAGCACACGCTGCATACACAGTGACTGAGGAATAAATGCATGAACCACAAAGAGATGAATGGATGGAGAGCTCAGCAGAGGCTGGAGGAGAGCAGAGGTGAGGTCAGTCCAGGCAGAGGAAAAGAACCTCTAGGGGAAACAGCACCAGCACGGGCATGGAGGGAGGAGGAGCAAGACACATGTGGCCAGAAGACAGGTGTACGGAGGCCTCTGCTCCCCCAACTGAAGCCAGAGCCTGCCCCTGCCCTGCAGGGTATTCCTGGCCCGAGGGCACCTGGGGCTGCCCGCTCTGGTCTGGTACACCCCTTGGCTCAGCAGAGCACCTACAGCCGCAGCCCTGGCTCTGGCTTCAACCTTCTGCATCGTTGGGGAAGATGCAGAGGCTCAGGAAGGCCGCCAGGCTGCCGAGGGCATGCGGTAGTCACAGCAGAAGTGGCCCAGTGACCCAGGAAGACAGGAAGTGCCAGCCGGCCAGCCCCTGGGTAGCCCAGGGCCCCACAGAGCCAGAGGGCTGCCAGGCAAAGAGCCAGCCTGGGTTCTTAGGTGCCTGGCCTCCATCTGAAACCTCAAGCTGAGGCTCAGAGTCCAGTCATTGTCCTCTCCCTTGTTCAGTCCCTGTTCAAGGGATGCTGGGAGGCAGGGAGGGGCACGGCAGCTTGGGCACAGTTTAGGAGCATGGTGAGGCAGGCTGGGGAGATGCCAGCTACACAGAGCCCTGATGCCCTGCTTCAAGTTTGCCCCTGCCACGCAGGTGGAACTCATCAAGCGCAGGTCTCCCCAGCTCTCAGCAGCCAGACACAGTCTATTCTGTGACTCAGAAATGGTCCCCCCACAGCTAAAAAATACCAGAACATGTTCCTGCAGAGAGAGAAAGTGGACCGGGGCTGGAGATGCCAGGCCACGCACCTCACATGAAATATCCCAAGTAAACCCCACTACGAGGCTTTTAGAAAGGGCGTTACCCCTTGTTACAGACTCAGAGAGGTTCAGACAGGTTCAGAGAGGTTAAGTAACTGTGTCCAAGGACAGACAGCTATCAGGAGGCAGGTAAAGCTAGCACCGAACCCAGGGACTGCTAATTCCAAAGCTTTGTTCTTAACCACGGTGGTTTCATTCCCTCTCAATGAGGAGCGCCTTCGTGTCTGACGTGCCATTTAAACTGGCTGTTTGCACAGCAAAGCCTCCCTGAGAAGAGGAGCTCGGCCCGGGGCCCAGAGGAGTTGAAAAGGGAAGGCAGCTCCAGTCCGGGAAGACGGAGCCCTTGGACTGCCCGCCCTTCCTCCTGCAACTAGAAATCAGAATGTCTGGGTTCAAAACCCCCCACATCCCTAGGGAACAATGCAGAGTGCTGGGTGAGTGGGGAGCAGAAGCCCCTCCAAGGAGCCTGCAGGGAGCTCAGCCCCTTCCCCTGGCAGGCTCTTGAGGGCAGGCAGGGCTGGAGTGTGGAGGAGAGGGGCCTTGGGTTGCAGCAAACACTCATCCTTGCCCCTACCCGCACACCTTCCCCTCCCTGGCTCGGATGGCACAGTCTAGAGAGACTGAGCCAGCCTGTCTCCACACCTCGCCTGGGAGCCCAGGGCAGGGATGAGGAAAGGAGAGAAAACAACACCAGGGCCCAGGTCTCTTCCAGCCTCCCCTCCCCCGAAGCATACCGGAGTCTCCCCAACATGGAGCTGCACTAAGGCACACATGCCCAGGCCCAGGAAAGAGGCGGGGACCCACAAAGAGGGCGGAAGGCCTGGGCTCCTGGGTAGCCCGCCGACGATGGGCCGGTGGCAGAAAGGCACGAATACAGGGAAGGCAAGTGGCCACTCACCCCTCCTCCCACAGCCCCACCCAGGCCCTACTGTCCCGGCAGCTAGGATGGCTGCAGCCCGGAAAGAACCAGGGTGGGTGCAGGCCGGGGGTTGGGAGCCCGTCTGTTCTGGTTCCTCAGGGGCCCTTTGGCCTGGAACATTTGGTGGAGCCCATTAAAATTAAAAAGCCAAGTGGCTGGTGGCTCTGAATGCCAGCTCGTTTTCCCTGGCATGGTGGGTCCTGTTTAAGGGAACCAGCTGGCATTAATGGCACACAACTCGTCATGAACAGCAGCTAGCGATCAGAAAAATCTGAGCTAATAATCAGGTTTGGGAAAGATAATGAGATATGGAACAATCGCTGCTGAGGGTCCCCTAGGGTCTGTTTTAACAGTCTCCAAATAAGCCACAAAATAGAAATTAACCAAACAGGGGCTCCATTTGGGTGGAGGGGAAAACAAACAGGATGTGGATTTTGCACAAAAATTCCCATGTGGCCAGCAGCCGGGGGTCCTGGGAGAAGCCAGAGCCCGGCACATCGACGAAGGCCTGAGGAAGCAGTGGACTTTCTCTGGCCACTTCTCTCCAAGCTCTGGCTCCCAGGCTGGTGGCTTTGCCATGGCAGCTGACAGGAGCAGAGCAGGAGGAGGGAAGACTGGCTTCCTGATAATCCCCACAGAGGGGATAAGTGCTGGCCAGCACTAAGGACTGGGGTGGGGAGGGAGCGCCATGACACAGACCTTCAATGTCATGAGCTGTGGCTGACAGCTCCTTGAGTATCAAGGTCTTGCCCAGGCCAACATCAGCCTGAGTTCTGCAAAGCCAGGAAGGGGACACCAGATGGGGCTGACGTAATGCATGCAGCCCTCTCTCCCGGGCTGTGTCCTGTCCTCCGGCTCACACACCTCGTCCTGTGGGATGCCCCTGTGCCAAGGGGCTTCAGGCATTCCACTTCCACACCCCCCAAATGCAGGTTATGTTGTTGTTCCTCACCCACACCTGGTTCCTCTCCCATTCCCAACTCACTCCTCATGCTGGGGCCTAGGAGTCTTCCTCAAGGGGAACCTTGCCCACCCCACGTCCAGCGCACGCCGCACAGCTACCTGTTCCATTTCCTGGACACCTTGCACGTGGCTATGCCTCTCTCTGCTCCCACCCCTTAGCCTAAGCACCAGTCTCTTCTCCCTGGGCCACTGCCCTCCTTCGAGTTCAGTTCCCTGCTTCCACTCTTGCCCTCCTCCAGTCCACTCTCTACAGAGCAGCCAGGGTGACCTCCTAAACGTGGACATGAACTTGCTTCAGCCTTGCAGGGGCTTCTCCCTGCACGTACAGGCCTGCTGGGTGGCCGCCTGGCCTTGCCTGCAAGGCTCCAGCCCCCTCCCCGTCACCCCTGCCCCTCGGATGAGCCCACCTTCTCTCTCCCTCTCCATCCCCCCTCCCTGTCCCACCCCACCTCTCTCTCCCCGGGCTTCCCAGCACTAACCCCTTCCTGGGCCTCCTCATCTTTCAGCCTGAGTGCCAGGCCCTCAGAGGGGCCTCCCCTTCTATAGCCTCCCACAGAACCTGGACTCTTCCTTCCTGTACCCACCATGGTCTCTAAGTATCTATTCATTTACCTTCTTAAATATTATAAGCCAGCCCTGGCCGGTTTGGCTCAGCGGTTAGAGCGTCAGCCTGCGGTCCACAGAGACCCGGGTTCGGTTCCCACTAAGGGCATGTACCTTGGCTGCAGTTTGTCCCCAGCCCTGGTTGGGTTGTGTGGGTGGCGGCCGCTCGATGTGTCCCTTTCGCATCGATGTTTCTCTCTCTTCCTCTCTCTCCTTCCCGCTCTATCTGAGTAGAAAATGGAAAAATGTCCTCGGGTGAGGATTAAAAAATAAATAAATAAATATTATAAGCCAAAGTAATACAGGTATATGACTTAAAAACTGAATTTCACAGAAATGTTTTTATTTGTGGACTCTTTTTTTGTTTTTATCCTCACCCAAGGACATTTTTGCATTTCCCCAACCAGGGCTGGGGACAAACTGCAA